TAATATGTGTTCCTTGGATTACTGAGAAATCATGTTCCCCTAGTTTGAAGTAGTCAGGACTAGGAATCGGTGGTAGATCTTACATCCCGTAACGTACCACGAAAAGGTGGTCTACCCACATTACGGGGCTGGATTTAAAGATGGTGTCGGACATCGATATCCAGTCTCTATACGACATCCCGATTTCGAAAATACCCATATTGAAGGGTATTTGACTGTATTTTCAAGTTTTTCTTTAACCGGTAGCCGCCATCTTGAATTTCAAGATGGCGTTGGACACCGATCTCCTGTCTCTAGACGTCATCCTATCCCGTATTGAAGGGTATTTGACAGAATTTCAAAGATTTCTATAACCGGAAGCCGCCGTATTATATTCCAAGATGGCGTCTAGACGTTCCCACGATTTCAAAAATACCAATTTGAGGTGTATTTTTCAGACTTCAAAATGATTTCTCATTCTTTCGCTACCAATAATGTAGTTGACTAAAATAAACTTTATAAAAAAAATATGTGACGATTGTTTATGAATAACTGTTGTGCTTTGTACAAAACCAAAATTCTAGCACACACCAATTGTCGGTTTTGATTTAGAACACCGGGTGTGTGTATTCACAATCTAACTCCTACTGACTGCCAGTGGCATTATGGATAGAATCGTTCTGCAACCATCTTTTATATCAGCTTAAATCCGAGAGTAAGAAGGTGACAGCTCTATCGCAACTCCAAAAGCCCATTTCAAGAACGCAAGCATTCCGAAGCTATTTTCGTATACGATAAGCCCCGCTCCAATACATTTCAATGGGAGAATCATTAAGAATGTGCTGGAACTTTTAATCAAGCTGTATGCTTGATTGACCCGTATTTAATGAGTTGGAAATGCTTGTAGTATCACTAGTACTAGTGCTCGGAAATTAAGTATGGAAATATTATAAAGGACAAAATGGAACGAACCATCAAATCTGTCCAAGTGAACCCAACAAGCTGGTCTGATGTGTTATTGGCGTCTTGCAGTGAAACTTTTCCAAGCTTTCGCCACCTACATTTCGAAGTGAGAACTACTAAAAGGAGGATAGTTTCCAAATTTTCCAAGTAAAACATACGCTTTTTGGGGCAAATCGGTCCATAAAGAAAAACTAATAATTTCCCGTGGAAACTTTTGCTTGAATCGTGTAAGAAAACGTGTTTGAAAACTATTTGTTATTATTTCGGTATGGATCGGAGATGTTTTCATGGCAAATTATGCATAACAAGTTTGCACCCACAGGGAGAGGTTACCTCCTGCGCAACTGCATTCTTCAGAAAATGGTAAATATGTGCGATTTTTACTAAGATGAAAGTGGAAATTAAGTGAATTTACTTAGGAAAGGTTGTATCATGCTGGTATTAATAGAAAATTGTTTGTATAAGACGCGATATTCAATAAATGTTCATTTTGGCCTTTTTTAAGCAGACATATTGATACTCACAATTTTCGACGGAAAACGCACCGGAATTTGATTTACTCAACACGCACCATACTATAAAATGGTGCTAGATGGTCTTCAAAGTGATAACAAGATGACAAATCATCTTTATTTTGAGTAATTGAGCAATTTACTTCTGTTTACCATCACATTTACGATGCAGCATTGATGGAGCCGTGAAATGAAATGAATATATCTTATCAAAGTTCACCTGGAAAAGTCAAAGATGCACATCAGTCTGATCGTAAAAACGTTTTCTTCTTCAATTCGAATGTTATATTGGAAGGATTTTACGCAGGCTTGATGGAAATTATGATTTAATGCTAATTTTCACGAATTTGATATGCAGTCTGTCAACATTATCATCATCATGCAGTGGCGACATCTGCGTTGAGCTTTTGCGGCAATCTTCCAATAGGGAAAGTCGCAATTGTAGACCGCTTCACGCGGTAATCTGGTTTGAGCACGGAATGTCCCGAATGTAGTCTTGAAACACATCTTGGCCGTCCGACACAATCCGCACACTGTGGAACTCGAATCAAGAAATTCAAGTATTCGTTCGTAACCAATATCACTTTACTGTTTAAAAAAATCCGGAACAACGCAAAATCCAAAAAAATTACGTGAGGAAAATTTTTCGTTTCCATCTACAAGGCTTGTACAAGGTAGTACAAGGTAGTACAAGCACAGCACTCTTCGATAGGTTTTGATTTAGAAAACCGGGTACACTAAGACTTAACCGAATCAGGGTACACGCTTGCATAAACACAGGAGTATTTTTCTAACTCGAACCAGCACACGGTGCGCAACGGTTGGTACAGTTGCCCATCACTTATCAAAAGTATCTGTGTATATTCTTCTCGAAATGCCATCGGAAATTTCCTCGGAATTCCGATAAAAATCCTCTCAGGGTTTTTTTTTTGAAATTGCGCTCTTCTTTGGCATTCTTTTCAAAAATCCTTTGGAGCTCTCTCTTGGAGGTGTCACTGCTCAAAAGTATCTTAAATCTTCTAGAGATGCTCTTGTAATTTTCTTCGGAATTCATTTTAAAGTCTTTTGTAATTTTTTGATATTCTACTCTCAAAATTCGATCCCTTTGGTAATCTTTTTCAAAATTCCCTTGGAATTCTCTTTAGAATTCACTTGAAATTATTTTTAGAATTACCTTGGAATTTTCCCTAGAATTATTTAGGATCTATCCTACAGTATTCAAAACCCTCAGGATTTCTTTGGAACTATCATCAGAATTCCCTAAAAATTATTCTCATAATTTATTTAAAATGTTGACTTGAAATGGACCAGGAATCCTTTTCACAATCCATAGTTTTCCTCAGAATAACCAAAAAAAGTCAACTCCAAACTCTCCTTAAATCTCACCTGGAGCTCTTCTCACAATTACATTGGAACTCTTCCTAAAATTGACTTGGAGTTATAGTCAAAACCCTCTTAAAGTTCTTTCCAAATCTCCTTTGGAATTTTTCGCTGACATACTTTGGTGTTACCCCTGGAGTTTATTCTAAACATTTAAAAAAAATCTATTGTAATTTTCATAAATATTCTCAAAACAGCTCTTCAAAATGCCTGTATTCCGAAAATCTAATCCAGTATGAGGGCCTCCAAGGTCTAGAATGTAAATATTTTGATTTACATTTTTACCAAGTTGTCATCGAAATTGACGGACTTTTCCCAATGATCTGGTATTCCCAGATTTTTTTTCGGGTTTCCCCAATTTCCATGTTTCCTGATCGGCCTGAATTTGTATGAGTAATAGCAGTTTCACGTCAAATGACGAATCGAAAAAAAAACTCCGATTTGCATGAAACTTTACACAATAACTGCGCGTTATGGGCAATCATTCACGTTTAAAAAAAAATCGACCATTTTGGATCATGCAATTTTTTTTCAAAATGGTGTTTTTGTAATTTTTTAATAAATTGTAGCTCGTAGATTTAGAGAAAAACAATGTTTTTCTGGGAAAAATACATACACAAATGTTTTAGTAATTTAAATTAGGTTTGAAAAAAAAATAGGTTCATAAAAATACAAACTTTTGAAATGTTAAAAACCATGGGCGCTTGAAAATTTACTAAAATCGTGGAATACAAACTTTTTGTATAGTGTATTTTTTTTTTCACAGAAAATGATTTAAAATGTCTCAAACATTGTTTCTTCAGTACATGACAAATTGATAAAACAATAAGTTTAAAAATTTGACCAAAAGTTTTTGTTCTACGAGTTTTGTCAATTTTGAAATGTCCATAATTTAAAAAAATTCAAAAGTGTGGATTTTTCATGATTTAAAAAATTTTAAAAATCGTGCATGGACAGTTTGAGATGTTTAGGTTTATTATATATTTTAAATTTTTATTTTAAATTACTAAAAGAAGTTTTGGTATATTTTTCCCAGAAAAAAAATAAACTTTTGTCTAAGACCTCATTTCGATCAGAAGTGTTGTTTCAGTGCTACAAGTTTTTGAAAATTTCAAAGACGCCATTTTAATTTTTTTGAAAGATCCAAAATGGCCGAAATTTATCAAAAATTTAAATCATTTCTCATAACAAACAATGGTAAAAAGTACAAAGTCGAGTTTTCCGATTCGTCATTTGTATTGGACTGCTTCACGTCTCATATTACGTGATATAGGAAATTTATCCATGCCTCAGGAGATAAAAGTTTTTTTTTTAATTTTTTGGGTAATATTTTGTTTTTTGAGTTTCAAACATTTTTTTTTTGATTTTTTACCCAAAACTACTTATAATATTTTGAAGTGCACATTTTTCTTGAAGAGTTATATATTTTTGCTACAACTTTGTGTCAGATGTCATTTCGATTGGATTTGACTTTTTTGAGTTGTGATCAGATGAAAAATATCAAAACGCAATTTTTAATGTTATTGCGCGATTCAAAATGGTGGGATTTCAACTAACACACAATAAATGGATCCCAAGTCATCACTTCTCTTTAAGTATCAGTAGACAACGTAACTTACCCGCCTTACGTTTCATCTGCCTGTTTGACCGATGCAAATCGGCCGACACTTTTATCAGTTGATTTGATTTCTTCACTTCGAAAAAAAAAGTGCATAATAATAGCTTATAAAGCTCCATTACCATCAACATTCGCTGGTGGGACGATTTTCGGATCAAAAAAATGCTTATTGTTTATCATAATGAACCCAATTTTCCTACATTTCCGATGCAGTGTGCGCGCTGCAGCACATGTTGCTGAATTCATGGGTGAATGTCGGAAACTCGGAGAACGTTTGAAACGAGAGAAAGAGCACATGAATGAATTAATTTCACTCCCGGCCGATGATTCTCCCGATGCAGTTCGCATTCCAAGAGAGCTATCGTGATAACAATAAATTATTCTCTCTATCTCTGCCGTCCGATTCATTCGATGCATGCAATCTTGCGCGGAATCGAGAGTTAATCGCGCGCGAGAGAGAGAGAGATTCATTCATTCGTTCAGATACGCGGAAGAGGGGGCTCTTCGCTGGGTGCTAGCTTGGCGCTGCAGTAGAGCGCTCTAAACGCTTTCAAAGTCCCGCAAACGGCAAACCCGTTTGAACTGTCTATGCGAACGGTTGTGTTTTGGGTAGAAGCGCGTTCGGACTTTTCGGACCGTATTTATTAGATCGCGAAGTTCCCGTTGCCGTGGCGACCGCAGTGTGGAAAACATTTAGCGCTGGAGGACACACAACGAAGTGAAGAAAACGGGTGTCGCGTTCAGTGTGCTGTCGTTGTCTGTGGTGGAACTTGAACTCATACCACTCTAGCGGGATTCGCGTGTTGACAAGTGTCTCCAAAGTGGTGGATTAGTGGTGTGAGTCTGAGCGGAGACTTGGATCGCAGTGAATAAACAGATATCAACCAGGTAGATCTGCCTAAACTGGAGCTGTGCTACCTGTGTGTTTGCGTGAGTGGCAGAGAAGCGAAAAAGGTTGAACCTAAACGGTGTGTGTGTGTGCGGGCAGTGTTTTGATGAAGTGTTGTGGAGCCTGATTTTCGGGCGTAGGAAATTGTGCAATTGTGACACATAAACCGAAAGGTCTGTACTGCTGATCGGACAGGGAAATCCCTTAACTAGTTGATCAACACGATCCAAGGAACCTTGTGGTACCGAACTACCACAACATTATACAACGACCACTTCGATGAGGAAGTGAAACTTGCTGACCTAGTGCAGTGCAGTTTGTCGTCGACGGCCTACTGATCGCTTTCAGGACATTTTTGGTGATCGTCTTGATAAGCGACGAACCCGAGATCAGTTGTGTGCAAACAAACTACCCGTTGCAGTTGACGAGGGAGCATTGTACCGTGGAAGTTCTGTGCGGATGTCGTGTGAACTTACGTAAAAATTGACGAACCGAGTTGGAGTGGAAATGCAAAACAGTGTGTGACCGAAATATAAAATATTTTCGCGATTAATCATTACAATAGTGCGGTCATCGTCGTCGTCGTTGTTGTTGTTTGGTCGTACTATACTCATTCAGACGAAACTTCCATACGCAACTCATAAATTTGCTCGGTTTGGTGGAGTGAAGGAATTTTGAAATTGAGTCCGTCGTCGACGAGGGAAGAAACAGAGAAGCCCAAAAGTGAAGGCGCTTCTTTATAGTGGCAACAACAACACATCCAACAGAATAGCTACATACACGTAGAAGGTGCTGCTGGTCGTGTTTTCCGTGTCCATCAGTGTAGAAGCAGTGTGTGGTTTTTTTCGGCAGACTAGACTTTGTTGTTTTGCGTGGAGTAGCTGCTACTAGAGGAGAACTTTCGGTTGAACTTTACGCTATTTTAAGGTGAGTACGCGGAAGTCGAGATTTGTTGCGGTTTCTCTTTTGTTGTTGGGTCATTATGGTTCGCGGTATGGACGGAGAACGGTTCGAAAGACGTGTAGAATTGGAAACGGCCAAAAATTTGCTCATGACTTAGTGTGGGACTGCTTTGAGAGGGAGTAACAACAATTATTGAGCTGAGTCGTTGAATGGATCATATTTGTACAACGTGATTGACGTTAGCACAAAGAACTGCGAACGGGTGGACGATGCATGAAAATTGCACCAGTCACGTCCCTAAGTTGATTCTGGAAGATAGGGGAATTGGTGCGGGGAAATCGTTTCTTGAAAACAGTGAGAGAAACGGTAATTTTACTGTTTTGAAAAATATATAAATTTTGCATATTATGAAATCGAAGTAATCCAAATAAATTGGGGTTCTTCTTCTTTTCCTTTATTATAGAGACTTTCAGCCCTTAGTTGGTTCGTCTCTTTGAAAGGGAGGGATAGTGATTATTCACGTAAAATTTGAGCTCGAAGCAACACCTAAGAAATCAATACTTGGGGAACATGCATTAAATGATGTAGCATTTGGGTGGGAGGTTGGTGGTTTTTCAGAACTTGAGAACGACCGGATCTGGAATTTTAGTTCAAAGCAAAATTGATTCACGTATTGGCACAAAGCCCATGGAATCACCAGAAAAACCCGGACGACTCGAGTTTAAAAAAAAAATATCAGGAAAATCAACAGCAGTTCATTTTCAAATAATCTCAGTTTTTAAAATGTAGCAAATCAAGACTCTTTGTTTATATCTAGGCCATATTTCAGTTTTTGTTCAATCAAACTTGTTGTAAGATAGATGTTTTAAGGCCATGGATTTTTATTTTAGTAATACGTCGAATATTCTCCTTTGTACTCGGCCGACATTTTTTGTCTGAAATCTACTTTCACACAAACATTTTAACTGCTTTTTGGCAATTTGCTCTGTACAAAAAGACCAAATACTTACAATATTCGGTGGTCCAGAATGGCAATTTAGCAAGTAGTCCTGGAACTTTTGCATTAATATTTAGGCGTTTGGTGTCGTTGGTGAAGTTTTTGTGCTTGAAAAGTTCCTTAATTTGGATATTGTGGTCTTCAAACTAATTGACATTGAAAGAATATCTTTTAATTTTTGAAAATAAGGAGCTGCGTTAATTCCAAGCAACTTTGTGACACAAACATTTTTTTCTATTTCTTAACGTTTTCAAGTTTAGTTTTAAATTTTTCGTGAATGTCGTCTTTATAAATTATAGGAACTTTTCAAAATACACGTGTTTGCAGAATAAAGCAATACTAAATCTCTTGAATGCACCCTTTTCAAATGTTAATTACTCGGCACGGTGTAAATCCTCACAAAAATTTCAAGTTAGCGAACTTGAAACTACATTTTATGAAAAAGAAATAGAGATATGTTATTTCTTAAACTCGTTTAAATCACCTGTTGACATTTTTTTATATAATAAGTATAGTTGTTTCTTCGTCAAACTTGCTTGGAATTAACTCAGCTTCAAACTTGCTGAAGATTGTATGTCTTATTTTCAAAAGTATGGAAGTTAATTTTTTAATATCAATACCCTATTGTTTACAACTGCAAGGGAAGGGACTTTTTTCACCGAAATCACCAAACGCCTAATTAAAGAAAAATATTTTCAGAATATTATTCAAGACTTCATTGAGCCTGTAGAACTTCAAGATATGAACTCCAGAATGGTCTGGAAAACATTAAATATCTTATTGATATAAAAAATGCTTTATTGAGCTTCATGGCCTCATACAAATTTTCAGTACATCGGTCAAGACATCATTGCGTCTGTGGAACTTCGTTCAGAATGGTTTGGAAAGCATTAAATGTCTTATTGATACCACTCGATGATGTGCGTGTTGTCAAGAGACCCTGTTGAGCTTCATGGACTCATACACATTTTCTGAACATTGTTCAAAACACTCAAGAACTTAAAGATCTTAGCTCCAGAAAAGTTTGGACACCATTGAATATCTTATCTATCTGAACACCATTGAATATCTCACCATTGAATCCATGGAGCTCAAGAGAGCCTAAGATATTCAATGGTCTCCAAACTATTCTGGAGCTAATATCTTGAAGTTCTACAGACTCAATGAATGTTTTGGACAATTTTCAGAAATTTTTTATATTGTTCAAAATCTGCATTGAGTCTGACTTCAAGATCGCAATGGGCATGTTGTCAGGTGACTCTCTTGTGCTTCATGGATTCATAAAGATTTTCAGGATATTGTTCAAGACTTCATTGAGCCTGTGGAACTTCACGATCGTTGCTCCAGAATGATTTGGAGAGTATTAAATATCTTATTGCTACCATTCTATGGTTCGATTGCACTATGGTCCAGAAACCGTATGTAGGCAGAATAAATTATTTCTCGATGAACATTTCAAATGATCCTATCTGCTTTGATCGATTTTGTTCATCGACTTTCCTTTTTCATAACCACTGCTATGCAAACAGATTTCGCGATAATTCTACCACATAGTTTGATAAAGGAGGTTCTTATCTAGCGTCCAAAACGTCAAATACAACAGGGAAAAGGTTATGCAGCTGAGTTATTGACAAAAGAGAAAGTCGATGAAGAGAATCGTTCAATGTAAATAGGACCTTTTGAAATGTTAACCTAGATTTGTGCCTAAATCATTAAACCCGTTCAGTCCCATTTTTTTCTAAAGCATATTTTAAGGAAATGCTAACGCTTTTTGATAGAATACGGTTATTTAAGTACAAATTCTTAAACATAATCGGGAAGATTTGTTTTTTGGGATGTTCTAGGACGTCCAAATTATTCTGGAGTCAGATCAACCATCACTTATACAAGGCCTTTAGTAACGAAACATCTCCAAACAAGTTCATATAGATTATGCACATCATTTACGTTTTAATTCCATTATATAAGATGTTCTAAATTCTCCAAATTGTCCTGGAGATCGGTTATTTGATCTACTGAATCAACCAAGGCCTGCACGGCGTCCTCAATTTCAACCCCTGTTCAAACATGTTCATAGAGTTTTTGCGCTTCACTTATAATCTATTTTGAGGCTTATACGATGTTCAAGGCTCTCCAAATTATGCTGGAGCTCAGATCGAATGATCTACCAGATCAACAATCAGGCCCTTGGTAACGAAACATCTTCAAATAGGTTCACAGAGATTATGAACTACATTAACGTTTAAATTTCATGTGTATAAGATGTTCTCGGTTCTCCAAATTGTCCTGGAGTTCTGACTATTAGATATACTGGATCAACCAAGGCCTGCACGACATCCTCTGTGACTACACCTACTCAAACATAGTCATAGAGTTTTTGCGCATAACTTATAATCTATTTTAAGTTATATAAGATGCTCAAAGTTCTCCAAATTATGCTGGAGTTCAGATCAAATGATCTACCAGATCAACAATGAGGCCCGTAGTTACGAAAAAAACTCCAAACAGGTTCATAGAGATTATGCTCATAATTTACGTTTCAATTCCATGCGTATACGATGTTCTAAGTTCTCCAAATTGTCCTGGAGTTCTGACTCTTTGATATACTGGATCAACCAAGACCTGCACGACATCCTGTCTATTACTATAGATTGTATGCAATTAATCATAGAGCGTGGTCATATATGACTACGTGAGCTTGAAAGGGTTAAGGTACATAGTACCTTAGAGCAGCGGTTCTCAAACTTTTGTCGATCGCGTTCGTAATTTTAGGATATTCCATTAGCACACGACCCACCAATATTGAACACTGATGTCATAAAATCAAAATTACCTTAAAACCCAAAAATAGCTTTAAAACACCAAAGAAACTGCACGATTGCCTGAAACCCAAAACCAGCCTCAGAAAAGGCCAAACAAGATGAAACCGGCTTCATTGATTAGTGGCTCAAATAAATCATATATCTTATATTTATGCAGTGCATCAATGTTCTATTCAAGAATTAAAAAAAAATAAAATTAAAGAGCAATTTCCTGGATTCGGCATGCCATGCTATTTACGAACGCTATCCACTGCGCCAAAAGTGTGTTGGAATACCATTCGGACAAACACCAATTTAAAATTCATCAAGGTGTTGTGTTCCGCAGTGCTGAGATTTGTCATTGTCATTGACAGACTTTCAAGCGATATTGACAAAATTGTTTTCACATAATCACTGACAGACTTTTTCTTCTTATTGCGTGCTCTCAACTTTGTGTTCTGAAATGCACTTCCCTAGTTATTAATTGAGAGTCTTCGATGCCAATGCATGAATGTGTATATTGTGTGGCAAGCACAATGATACTCTATGCCCAGGGAAGTCAAGAAAATTTCCAACCCGAAAGATTCCCTCGACCGGATCGGGAATCGAACCCGCCGCCTCCGGCTTGGTAATACCGTGCCTTTACTTACCAAGCTATGAGGCTCCTAAAGACAGACTTGATCCCCAAAAAAAATCTTTCGCAAAATGTCATTCATTTTTTCGTCAATGACAAAGATTCACCTGGTTACAAAGAGTGTAATTTCGTGCATTCTGTGTCACATAATTGTTATCCACGCAGTTCAGGACGTAGATGCTTGTTCACTTTAACGGCTCCATGTAATTGTGTTGCTCAAGTTCATTAGAAATACAGTTTAAAAAAAACCTACCAAATTTCGTCACTGACAGCATTGTCATTGACAATTGAAATGGTTTGTTTTGACGATGACTGTTAGCTCAAATGAGTGACCAAAGTTGAATTGTCAATATCACCGTGAATTATCGAAATTTTGCAGCACTGGTGTTTCGTATTCAAGTCAGTCAACTGGCACTGATAACTTTAACAGTAGAGGCTGACTGAAAGTAAATTGGTACACCCCTCGCGCGCCGCTAGCACGCCTCTAGTGTTGGGAATCGAAAATATTTGCCAGTGGTTTGTTTACACAGAACAACTGGTGCAAGTTTGATCGAAGTAGTCGATCTTTTTCAGAAATAACGTCAAATGGAAC